GGGGAGGTGTTAAGAGCTTGGGAATTGGAGTCACGCAGAGCTGGGCACAGTCCCAGTTCTACCGCTGCCTGGCCCAGACTCCCTTTCTGCATTTGGAGAGCGGAACTAGTAACAAAACCCCTGTCGAGTTGGTACAGGATGAGGTGAGCAGGAGCTGGGCGAGTCATGCCTGGCAAGTGAAAACTGTCATTCCCTTTGGACTCGGGTTAGAGCCCTGACCCAGTCCAGCAGCTCCTACAGGCTGGTGCGGGCTTTGGGGGTTGCCTGCTCAGTTGTTTCTGCGCTGGGTGTGCTGGGTCAGCTGTAGGGCAAGCTGTGGCCACGCAGGTGGCCCCTGTTCTGCCTTTGCATTTTGTTACCCCTGGCACAGCGAGGGGAGCAGAAGAACCGAGACTGCAGGCTTTGCTCAAGATCTTCGATGAATGGGGGTGAGGCCTAACCTAAAGCTGTTCTTTGTGTGGTCCGCTGGGCCCCTGGTGGTTCCTGGGTGGGTGAAGCCTGGATATTCCCGCACAAGTCTCTTTTGTTGTCAGGTTATTGTAGTGACCCCTGAATCATTTCACAGAACAAACACCCGTCTTCCAATTCCTTAGTGGGACGAGTGGTGTATCTTCCTGTTATGTAAGGCTAAGGCTTCGTTTAGAGTGGGGCTAAGGGACCGAGTTTCAGAAGGTGTGTCAGGTGAAGGAGCAAGTTCTGGATCTGGAGTAAAAGTACATCAGGCCGGGAGATCACTGGCCTCCGAGGACCACCCTGCAGGGTAGCTGGGCCCCTCCCTCACCGCATAGCTCTGGCTCTTAGGGCTTGTGTTTCTGTTTCCTTTCCCTTTTCAACTTAGTCACCAGGCTACCCTGGACCTGTGCTTTTCATGCTTTATCTATTTTTTTTATTATTTTAAAGTTTATCTTGAGAGTGAGTGTGCTTGGGGAGGGGTGGGGGGGAGGTGGCCGGCAGGGTAGGGAGAGAGTCCCAAGCCGGCTCGCTGTCAGTGCAGAGCCAGTCTTGGAGCTCCAACTCATAAACTTCATGGTCATGACCTAAGCTGAAACCAAGAGTTGGATGCTTAACTGACTGAGCTGCCCAGGAGCCACCCCCCCCCCCACTTTATTTTAAATCTAAATTTGTTCTGTGTTCATTTCTGCTCGCTTGGTGTTAGTTCCTCAGTTATCACCACAAGTGGTCTTGGAGGAGAACGTTTCGGCCAAGTGAGGGTTCTGACTGCCTCTTGGATGTGGGGAGGCCTTTGTGCTTGGCCTGGGAAGGAGGACAGAGCCCTGCTGTGCCCAAGGAGAGGGTGCACGTGCTGTGAGGGTGAACATGTGTTCCTGCTCCCCAGACCCCACCTTGTTTATCCCAAGGTAGAGGGCGGCCTTGCCGGGGCTCTCCCAGGTGGGGAGAGCCTTCTCTCCCTCCTTCTCTGGAGAGCATCGTCGACGTGCAGAGCTGTAAGTCCTCAGCAAGTGGCAAGGCCGTCTTCCCTCTGCAGCATCAGGACACATGGCGCCTTCAGGTGGCCAGTTCCAAGGCCCGTGGGGTGACAGCCTACCAGGCTGGGAGGGCTGGGGGAGTGTGGCACTCGTAGACTGTGGCCTGGGCGTGGAGGAGGAGTGTGGGCCGCCGGGGGGCGGTGGCACGGGGACACGCTTGGGCTGGGCCGCAGGAGACCTGAGGGTAGGCCAGCTCCAGACAGGGCGCCCTCGGCTTCCCCATCACTCCTCCCACGCCACAGCGGGCCGGGTGCCCGCTGTCTGCCCCCTCCGCCTGGTGCTCAGCGCCCCCGGGTACAGCTGTGCGGTGTCCACCCAGGCGTGGAAACCCCCCCACCGCCAGCCGCTCCAAGGGTGCGGACCGCCCGGTGGGGCTCCAGGCACCCACCCTACGGCGGGGTCCTGGGCAAGGGCGGCTCCCCGGTGGGCATGCACTTTGCTGCAGCCCAGGGACGCCGTCGTTGTCCCAGTGGCTGCGCTTCTGCTCACGGGGAGCTGTGGTGAAGCCCGTAGCTGCCTTCCTGCGTGCTGCCGGGATTTCTGTCCGCACTCACTGTCCTGACCTCGTCAGGGGCTTTGGCTCTGCGCTGTCCTGGGTGGGTCGCTGAGAGTCTTGTTTGTCACTCCTCTCTGGAGTGTCTCCAGTGGTGGGAGTGAGCTGCCCTCCAGGTCCCTCGCCTTGGGGTCATCACACTCAGCTGTGGGAATGTGTTCCTCTGTGGACAGAGGTGGTGCCAGAGACCTGCCAGCGAGGGTCTCCTACAGAAGTACGAGGGAAGCGCTGGTTTCTGCCTCCTGAGGTGTCCCGGCCTTTCTGAGACCAGACGGTGGTGGATCCTCTGTCTCTGTGATAGTTTTGAGGTCCTGGGCGTCTGTCCGGGTCCATCCGGGTCCTGAGGATGTGAGGTCCCAGCAGTCAGGGCATCCGATTGTCTTCTCGCCTCATGTTCAGGGTTTCTGGTTTGTGTGTCACCCTCCTAATGGGGAGTGTGCAGGCAGGTGAGAGTTGTTCTGGTTTTCTGTCTTTCTCTCTTCCTCTTTCTCTCTCTCTCTTTTGAATGGAACACATTCCCAAGTCCCAGGCCACTCCCCTGTCATTTTCTGCTGAATCCAGTTCAAAGAGTCTGAAGTTTTTGCCTCTAGTATTTTTTTTTTTAACAAGTAACATTATTTGGAATTTTAATGGTATCTGTTCAGGTTGATGTTCGGCCAGGCGAGGCCTCGTCAGAGAGCCCTGCGTGGGGCCTTGTCTGTGATTATTCCCAAGGTCACCTGCAGTCAGGTGGTTAGGATTTGTGGTTTCCAAATGGTTTTCCCTTTGGTGGTTGCCAGCCCCGACCTTGGTGAGCTGCGCTCTGCCTGGGGGGCACGGGTGTGTGTGGTCTAGGCCTCGTCTCCCCAGGGGGCCTGGTGGCTTCCCGCCCATGCCTGTGCCCACTTCCTCCTCCTAGTCAGGACAGCAGCTGCCCTGCTGACCAGGAAGGTTTCTGTGTCACCTGCAGAAGGATCAGTCTGTAGTACGGGGTCATGCTGGCTGTGTGTGTTTGCACACCTGCTCCGTGCTCACGTGGCCTTGGAGGGTCCGGGGTCTTGAAGGCCGCCCACGGACTTGCTAGTGCTTCTGTGTGACACCCTCACTGTGTGTCCCGTGCAGCTGGGGTTTGCCTTACCAGTCCTCCGCTTCTCTTCGGGCTGTCGGCCTTTGCATCTTCGCATTGGTCACCTGAGCGCCCCTTCCATCGCAGCCCCCCAGGTGTGCCCCCAGGTGTCAGCCGGGCTCACACCTCCGCCACCACATCAGTACTGTGGCATCTGTGGGTCCAGAAGAGGCAGCCCAAGCCTGGAAGGGAAAGCGTCCTGCCCGGTGCAGGTCCCTTCTGTCCCCGTGTGTCCTTCCCGTCTGGCCTCCCCGTGGCATCCTGGTTCCCCTTGGTGACGTGTCTCGGTGCCATCCACTCTGCGAGGCTGTCAGCCCAGCACCTGTCCTGGCTCTCATCCCCTCGGCACCCTGTGGGCTGGTGATGTCACCAGTAGCGGCATCTGGGGCGGCCCCCCGAAGGGCGAGTCTTCCCCTTGTGGTGTTTCTTGCTCCTTCCCGTAGAAGTTGTCTGCTCTTCTTGGCCTGTCCTGGGCTACCTCCTCTCCCCGGTGGAAGACCCGGCCTGGGCCCGTCCTTGGTGTCACCTGCCTTGATCCCACCTGCAGCCTCCCTCCCTCGGGCCTCACGTGGGCAGCTGTCCCTCGTGGTGCGTTGTTTTTTGTGGTCTTTGATTCTTATCTGATACCAGTTACTGCCCCATAAAATACAGAATACCGGAGGGAAGAAGGTGGAAAACATCCAGAATTTTCCCACTCAGAAAATAATTTTTGTTAACCACTTTGGTGCACTTCCTTCCAAGATGTGCTTTTACTGGTTGAAGAGTCCTTTGTGTCCCTCTCGTTTCCTGCTTTCTCACTCAACTTTACGGCACAAATACGTGGAAAACCTTCACCCCACGCTCGAGGCTGCAGGCCCCTTGGGCAGCCAGAGTCCCCGCACCTGTGCTGGGCTGGCCGTCCAGCGTTGGGATGGCCGAGATGGGTTCTCGGGGCCCCAGGCGTGTCTCCCAGGCCGTTCGCTCCGCCCCACCTGGGGCCTTCGAAGCAGCCAGTATTTGTCCTCCGTTTGTGACAAGTGGTGGCCTTCACTTTGGGCTTTGAGGTGGTTGAATGTGCGTGTGTCACTCCTCTGTTTGTTGGCTTGATTTTCAGCTTGAGAAGATCCTAGACTCTCGCGTGGTGTCCTCAAGGATGTGAATGGTGTGGCCCTCGGCTCCGCAGCCCGTCCTTTGCTCTCCTCTTTCCCGGTGCTTGGTCCTTGACGTTAAGACATTGTCCACTTGCTGCTCCCTGGAGACACTGTCACCAATGTTGAGTGCTTCTGGACTTTTTCATACAAACTGAGTGTGCATATACTTTGTTTAAAAACTTTTATTTTGTGGGGCGCCTGGGTGGCTCAGTTGGTTAAGTGTCCGACTCCTGATCTCGGCTCAGGTCATGATCCCAGGGTTGTGGGATTGAGCCCCGTGTCGAACTCCCTCCAGAGCTTGGAACCCGCTTGGGATTCTTTCTCTCCCTCCCTCTGCCTCTCCCCCGCAGGTGCATGTGCGTGCCTTGTCTCTTTCTCTCTTAAACAATAAATCATAAGAAAATATTTTACAAGCTTTCAAAAATGAAGGGTAGCAAACCTCTAGAAAAGTGCTCCAGTCGTCGGTGTGTATGTGGCCACATATCACAAAGCACATGGACCCGTAATCCCATGACCAGCCCCTCCTGGAATGTTTTTCAGGGATAGTCCCACCCGCCTGAGGCACGTTCACCAGACCTTGGTCTTACTTGCTTTTGAACTTGACACGGGTGGAACGGTACCCATACATCCCCTCTTACCCGTGTTTGTTTACACACACGTGTACGAACATGTTTATAAAACTGGGTTCCTTTATAAGGCCTGTCCTGTAACCTTTCCCGTTTCCGAGTGGGTGGTGGCCTCACGTGTGTCTGTGAGCAGGGACCTCCATCTCCCATAAACTGCAGCACCTTGTCCCACCGTCTGGAAGGCCGCCTGCTGTGTTTAGCCTCGTCACTGTTGTTGGCCGGGTGGGTCGTTTCCCTTTTATTTGGAACTATACGTCATCCTTTCGCACGCAGTAGCTAGAATCTTCTCTGCACTCTAGTTACTTCTGGAAGATTAATTCCCGGGGGAGCCCGGTTTTCTTGCCTGCCCTGTGACCCAGTGCCGGCTCCCTTCCTGCCTCCCCGGGGGCACGGGGCCTCCAGCCCCTTCCCCACAGCCATCCCCCGACCCCAGGCTTCGGGTGGGCACTGACCAAACTTTGTTTTATTTCTGATAGCGTTGTGTGGTGCTGCGTTTCCTGAAGTTTCCTCCAAACAGGAAGAAGGTAAGATTGGTGGGTTTGCCACCCAGTCGTTAAAATAGTTAATTAAGAAACTGAATTTTTTTTTCTGACGTGGAAGTATTAGTGCTAACTGTAGAAAGCTAAATGTGACGCAGGCTCTCGGTGCAGAAAGTGGGGGTGTCCCCGGTTCCCTCACGGCCGGCGTCTTGACCTGCCCGGGTCACCGTGGGTGCCCTGGGAGGGCCCTGGGTGCTGAGCTGGGGGGGCCAGGGCCAGGGCTCGGCTTTGCCACTCGCTGGCTCCATTTCCCCATCTTTGGGAGTGTAGCCCCGAAAGTGGAGTTGGTGATGCCCGCAGGCAGCGTGACAAGTCACGACAGGCCATTCAGGTGGAGCGCCAGGTTTCCGTTCGCTGAGTCATCTGGGCCGAGGGAAGCTGGTGCTGCCCTGTCGCCTGCCCGCCGCCCCCAGTAGCAGCGAGCGTCCCCCTCCAGCGGGGGAGCAGCGGTGCCTGTCGGGGGATCCCGTCCACGCGGGTGGCGGGGGGGGGCGGGAGCGCAGAGTCCGTGCTCGTCTGGGGCAGGAAGAGTCCGGGGAGGTGGGGTGGACGGCTGTGGAAATTAGGTTGGCCTCGCAGAAGAGAAGGGGACCGAGGGGGGCAGCCGGGGCTGCCCGGGGCCTAGGGACGGCGTGGTCTGTGTGGAGGAAGGTGGCCCCAGGCAGGAGGGCGTTTTCCTGCCTCCGCTGCCGCAAGCAGCACACATGGTGGTCTGTCCTGCGGGATCCGAGCAGATCTGAGTGGAAGCTAGAACGTGCTCCAGGCAGCTTCCCTCCCCCGCCCGCCACCCCTGAGGCGCCTGAAGCTTGTGGAAAGGCCAGCATTCTCTGGATGCCTCCCTCCGCCTTCCCCGCTCAGACTCACTGAGGCAGCGTCTTCGAAGGCAACAAACAGTTTGCCTTTATTTTCTGAGCGGTACGACGTGGCACCAGTCACGTTAGGGTGGAGAGCTGTGTGTGTGACAGTCCTGACAAGAAGAGCTTTCTGTCGGGAGCTCTGTGGCTGCAGCTGTAGGGTGCCGCCCCGAGGGCCCGCGGCTCTTTGTCGCGTGTGGTTCCGCTGCAGGCCGTGGCAGCTCCGTCCAGAAGCTTCCCAGAGCCCCGGCCGCCTCCCGGCCCCCTGCCAGGACCCTGCCGTCCACCCCGGACTTGCTGCCTTGGGTTGGAAACCTGTTCTCCCCCAAACCTCACAGCCTGCGGGCGCGTCACGAGCCTCTGACTGGGGAGGACGTACTTACTCTACATCTAGATGCTGAGGACCGAAATGTAAACACCCGGTGATTTTTGGCCGTGACAGATTTTCAAAGTTGTGTTCCCCAGAGGGCGCACCTGGGCCGCTGGTGGGATCCCCATGAGTCCCGGGTGGGAGGAGGGCAGGGGGGCAGACGTGGTTCTTGGGCGGATGGTGTGGAGTCTGTGGGGCTGTGGGACGGGAGCTCTGGGGGGTCCGGCGGTCACCGGCGAGGCTCGCCTTCCTCCCGAGCCAGGGCGCCTGGCGCGTGCGTGGTGCTGCTCGCTCCCTCGGAGGCCCCGGTCATTGAGGCTCCCCCGTGCTTGTCCATTACAGGCCTCAGAAGAGATATTTCAGCACCTACAGAACATAGTGGACTTCAGCAAAAATGTCATGAAAGAGTTTTTGGGGGAGAACTACGTCCACTGTGGGGTAAGTGACTTTTACGTACACGGTCACGAAGTCTGCGTTCACACGCTCTGTGTCCGTAACACCAGCTTCTCAAGCGTAGTCTGGACCTTTGTGCTTCCGGACAGCCCTGTGGTCTGCTTTCCCAGTGCTCTTCTTCTGTGCTGCCCGTGGGCACGGAGCAGGTAGTGTTCCCATCTTGCAGACGACCAGCCTGAGGTTCAGAGAGACCGCGTGAGGTCCCCATTTGCTGGGACCCCTGGTCCCCGCCACCCTGCTGTCACGGGGGGCTCCAGCTTGGTGAGGGTCTCAACAGAGATCCAGAAGCATCGCTGAGCCCTCTGCTGCCGGTGGCACCTCAAGCGAGTTGGGGAGGAGTGGGGCCCCCACGCTGGGGATGTGTGTGACCTGCCTCTTGGGAAAGCCTGGCTGAGGCCCGTGTGGCATGATGGCCTCCCCCTGCCCTTGGGTGGTCCGTGCTGCTGGCTCTTGCTGCTGCTTCTTGCCAAGGGGTGCCTGTTACAGACGAAGTCATGTTGGGACACGCAGGAGGGGGCACTGAGGCAGCCACGGCGGCCCTGCGACCTGGCGGCCCTCAGCAGGTGGCGTCCGTCTCCTGCCTGGGGGCGGCCATCCTCACGTGTCACGGTGCCTGGAGCTGCTTCTCCGAGAGCAGGGCCCTGAACCGACAGGAGCTCTGTGGTTCGGAGCTGAGAGTGCAGCCTCTGTTTGCAAATACTGTGGCTTGAGCTCATCCTGAAAAGCCGGCACCGAGGAGGTAGAGGGGAGGTTGTCTGAAGTGTAAGGGTTGCCTGACCGAGTAGACTTCAGGCGAAATGTCCTCTAAGGGGGTCCCCTGACAGCTTGGGACGTGTTGTCGGTGCTGCTGGGGGTCCGTGAGGGCTGTGGACCCCTTCCAGGCTGACGCCACCGCGGAGCCGGCTGCTGGCTGGGGGCCTCAGCACCTCCTGATGTGGGCTCACTGAAGGGCTCTGAGTGTTGCTCTGACCTGGCCCTGGCTTCCCAGGCTCATGATCTGAGAGATGACCTGTCCTTTTCACAGCTTCCTGCTGGCCTCCAGGGGCAGCCCCGGGCAGCGTGGGGCCACAAAGGGGCAAGAGGTCCTGTGGCTGGGACCGCCCCTGCTGAGGTCCCCGGCTGTCCAGTTGAATTGTGAAGGCCTGAAGCCCGTGGCTGTGAGAGCCCTGCGTCTGTGAGCGGCCTGGATGGTGTGTGAGTGAACGTGGGTGTGCTGACTGCCAGCTTTCTTCTTGAGGACAGGGCATTTCTCTGTCCTGCAGCTCTTGGGGGAGCTCTGGACGTTTTCTCCCAGGCGGGGTCAGCAGTGAGGGCGGTGGCAGCTCAGGGTCCCAGCCGACAGCGGCCTGGTAGGGAGGAACAGCATCGGGGCTCACGCGGTGCTCTGTCTCCAGGTTTGGTTCTGTCTGTGCACAGTGGACGGGCCTTGGGGAGAGTGTGAGCCCACAATGTCACATCCTGGGAGCATCCATCCCACTTACATACCTCCTCTGCCTGGAGATCCTGCCAGAGTGAGACACAGCCTGCTTTTTCTCCCTTGGAGATGGGGTCCGCACAGGACGGGCTGCATGAGGCCACCGTCAGGCGACAGCAGCGTGTGTGTATGCGGGACTGCTGACACACGCTGGTCACCAGTGTGTGTGTAGATAGGCCCACTGACACCGGTCACCGGTGTGTGTGCGTGTGTGTGTGTGTGGACGGGACCACTGACACCAGTCACTGGCGTGTGTACGTGGGACTGCTGACACCGGTCATCAGCCTGCGTGTGGACAGAGGCTGGTCTGGGGACTGGTCTGGGCCTGTCTCCACAGGAGCTGGAGGTTGGGAAACAGGGACGAGGCTGTTCCCCTTGTGCCTTCAGGGGTTTGTGTCCTCCGTACCATGGATGGTTGAGACGCTGATGGAATTTAAAGTGTTGTCTTGCTTTTGTGGGCCTGGTCTTCCCAAAGTGAGTGCCACTAGGGCGGCCTCAACTTGCATTTGAGCGTGATGTGATGGAAGCATTGGCCACGTGGTTAGTGAGGGGATGCTGTTCTCCTGGGGAAGCTTCTGGAAGACTGGACCAGTTGCTTCTCTGCCAGCCGCCTTCCCCACCCCCGCCTCTGCCTCTTTGTCCATCCCCGCAGCCGTCCCTGCATTCCTTCGAGGGCAGAAGCCCATCAACGGGGAACCTGGCGTGGCTACGTCCTCCAACTTACACTTCCGGGAGAGGAATTGTGTGGTCTTAACCGTAGTCCTTCTTAAGTTAGTGCTTTGTGCAGGTGCTGGCCACCTGCCATCCATCTGTCCGTCCGTCAGGCAGGATGACGTGGTTCACGCTGATTCAGGAGTTTGAATCAAGGGTTGGTAAAATGTAGCCAAGTGTTCAGGGTGCCCAAGATAGAGTTCATTACAAAATTGGGGCTTTAAAGTTGTGTAAAGAAATGTAGTTCCGCTTGTGGCCCTGGACTGCTACATCTGCTGTTCCCCGCGCTCCCCTGGCTGTTCCCCGAGCTCGCGGGGGCTCTGATGGCTTCTCCCAGCGGGTGAGCACACCCCCCTCGGTTCCCGGTCACGGTGGCCGGGGTGGCTCGCCCACTGTGGAAGCCAGTGCTCTGAGGATGGCCTGTCGCGTCTCTTTCATCTGGTCGTGTCCTTTAAATAGTAGAGCAGCTTTTATTCCTGAATCCGCATACTGAATGGTTTTTCAATGTGATAAAGTGTTCGTAGCATGAGACGTGCCATTTTAACTGTTTTTGAGCGTGTGCGGTTCTGCGGCACTAGGTCCATTCCCAAGTCGTGTGGTGCACTTAGTATGTTGTATTTGTTCTCACAGGAGGTGGTTCAGCTGCCTTTAGATTTCGTGAAACAGCTTTGTTTAAAGATACAGTCTGAAAGACCAGGTAAGCGTTCCGGCTTCTACATTTTGTTGGTAACTTAAATGTTCCATTTGAGAAGAGTTTGACCTGTGACTTGTGTAGGGTAGATGTTGTTTTCAGCAGCTCTGTTGCCAGAAACGTCACCCTCGGCAGAAGTCCTACGAGCTCATGAAGACGACTCTGGGCACCAGACGCTCGGGTGGTCGCAGACAGTGTGTGACCCGGGAAGCGCACCTGGGAGAAGAGCGGGAGGAAGAGGAGGGACTCCGGGCAGGGAGGGTGGCTGCAGGGCCCGCGGCAGGGCCTGCTCCCGGCCGCTAGAATCCACCTGCCTGCTTATTCCCTGCGGGAAGCGCACAGACGTGCGTCTCCGTGGGCGACGGCCTCTCCCCGTGGCCTCCCGTGCCTTCCCGCTCTTGCTCGAGGTGGTGGCGACAGTAGCCACCTTCCAGGCAGAGCGAGACCGGGGGTGACGTCCCCGGTGTTGAGGCTGGTCCTGGCCTCTCCTGGAACAAGCGGTTCAGGTGTGCCGGAGGCCCGCCTCCCATCCTGGGGTTAGGAAAGAGAAAGCAGACACGGAGGTTGTGCGCGGGAGCCCCTGGTTTGGGGCGCTGTGAAGAGCAGGACCCCCAGTGTGGAAAGAGCTGCCGAGGGGAAGCCGCCCCAGAGCCGGGACTGGGTTTTGGCTGCTCTCCTTTATTATTTTATTCTCTTACTTTTTTTGAGAGAGAGAGAGAGAGAGAGAGAGACGGCGCAAGTGAGTGGGGGGTGGGGAGAGAGAGAGAAGTGGGGCTCCACCAGGGCTCGTGTTCACCTGATGCAGGGCTCGAACTCATGAACCGTGAGTTCATGCCTGAGCCGAAGTCAGGTGCTTAACGACTGAGTCGTGCAGGCGCCCTCGGCTGCTCTCCTTTAGACAAGGGTGGCCTGACGCTTGCCCTAAGGCTCTACGTCATCATTTTAATTACCAATTAAACTGGTCCTACCAGACATCATAAGTAGTCGTAAGGGCGACTTGTAACTGGCCTCCTGATGTGAACAGAGGAAAGCTGACTCCCCCTGGGGTCCGGAGGCGTGTGGTGCGGTTGGCGCTGAGGAAGTGGGGGTGTTGGAGGGTCCCGAAGGACTGGTTGTGCAAGGAAGGGGGAGTCGCAGAGATGGGGTGGTCCCCAAGACCACCCCTACCTCTGAGGGCGCTTGCACCTTCGGGGGCTCCCAGGACAACCCCAGGTCCGATGATTCGCTAGAAGGACCTGGAGCTCCCTGTTGTCCTCATGGCTACGGCTTCACGCACTGAGGGACTCGGTCACACCCAGACGGCCATCTGAGAGACCCAGCACGAACTCCCAGGCGTCCTGCTTGTGCGACTTGGGTGCACAGTGCCTGTTTCTCCTGGCAACAAGGTGTGACCGCGCACCGGAGGAGTGGCACCAGCCTGGAGGTGGAGTCCCAGATAAGCACGGACACTCCTCAGGCAGGATGGCATGAAGCTTCGAGGGCCTCCCAGGAGTCCGAGGCCAAGGCCTCTCTTGGGCAGGGCCGGCCCTTCCTCCCAGGAGTCCACCGAGTTGCTATGGGCTGTCTCATCTATTCTGTGCTGATCCTCCGGTCTTTTCCCGGCTCTGTCTTTCAGAATCCCGCTGTGACAAGGACCTGGACACTCTCAGTGGCTATGCATTGTGCCTTCCCAATTTAGCCCGACTTCAGACTTACCGTTTTGTTGAGCACCGGCCGATTCTGTGTGTAGAGATCAAGGTGAACTTTTATCGAGGGGAACTGGTCGGGGAGGGGAGGGAACAGGGGTCCAGGTTGTAAATGTGCGGGCCGCCTGCCTGGGGCATGCTTTGCGACAGAAGCTCCTGAGGTCACCCCCCCCCAGGCCTCGTGGCCTCTTCCCAACCCCCAACTCCGTGCATTCGGCTTGTGTCCCACTCCTGATATCTGTCACCTGTGCCTTGCTGCTTCGGTTCTCCTCACTGGCCAGGCCTTCAGATGTGGGCCCGTGCCTGCTGCTGGGACATGGAGCCAGCCGGGGGCAGGCCCTGGCCGGTGGCCACCAGAAGGAAGAGGCACAGAAGCCTGCGTGACTTTCAGAGACCTGGTCTGTGCGCCCAGCAGAGGGCCGTGACCCCTGGAGAAGGGCCAGGCCCTGGCTTCATCTCTGCTGCCCAGTGCGCCCACGTGTCCCTAGGGAAGCCTCCTGGGTGTCCCAGGCCATCGTTTTGTCTCCTTCCTCTGAACCTCTGTGGTGGGGCCTTTGGGGTCACCCTGGCTGCTCTGCTTGTCCCTCCAGAGGGTGAGCATCCCGGGGTCTCAGATGACAGCCAGCCTTCTGAGTCCCCGCACTGAGTCCTGACAGTCCTGCCCTGGAACTGTGGTTTTGAAAGGCAGCCAGCGTTGCAGATGTCCTGGGAGCTTCCCAGTTGTCCGAGGGGCTTCCCGTTCGCTCCGTCTTGTCCGAGGGAGCAAGGGTTCCGCTGTTAGGAGCTGGGTGGGAGCTGGGGCAGTGGGAGCGAGGGTTCCGCTGGGTGGGAGCTGGGGCAGACCCGTTCCTCCAGGCATTGCTGTCACCTCATGTCACGGTGTGTTATACTTTGTCCATCTGGTCAGCGATTGAGGCACCTCTGGCCTCCCCAGTGAGGGTTCTGGCCTCGGATTCTGTGGCGGCAGAGCTGTTGATGTGACGAGGGAGGTGTCTGCTCCCCACGGGGCCGTGGACGGTAGCGGCTCTGGGGGATGTGATACCTGATTCTCCCGGGCATCACGCTCCATTATCTTGTCCCCTGAAAGGTATGTGATTTGTCCCTAAACAGTTTTTTCTTCCTTACTTGTTTATTTTGCAGCCAAAATGTGGGTTTATTCCTTTCTCCGGTGACGTTACGCACGAGGTGAAGCACAAAGTGTGCCGTTACTGCATGCACCAGCACCTCAAGGTGAGAAGCGCGGCCGGCCCACGGCCTCCGTGCACAGAGCCTCGGGTGGGGGCGCTGGCCCCATGGTGGGACCCCCCGGAGTCGCCCGACGAGTGAAAAAACAGACACTTTGATCTGATTTACTTTTTCTTTTGCAAGTAGTTCATGTTCGCTTTGTTTCAAATCGAGGTATAGTTCACATATCTTCAGTTCACCCACGTGAAGTGTATACTTCGGTGGGTTTTACTAAGTTCGCATGATGGCGCTGCCATCATTATTCGAATTCCAGAATAATTTCATGAGCTCACAAAGAATCGTGTCCCCGTTAGCAGTCACTCCCTAAGGCCCCTGTCCCGCCAGCCCCTGGCCAACACCTGCCCTTGTGGACGTGCCCTGGACATTTCCTGTAGATGGAATCCCATACCCGGTGGCCTCCCGTGACTGGCTTCTTCCCCTGAGTGTCACGGTTTTGAGGTTCGTCCACATTGTGGCGCGGTTGAACACTGTTCCGCTGTCTGGGGACACCTCGTTTATCATTCATCTCCTGATGGACATGTGGGTTGTTTCTACCCTTCGGCTGTTGTGAATAGTGCTGGCTGCTGTGAACGTGCGTGTGCATGTTCGTGTTTGAGTCACTGCTTTCAGTTCTTCTGGGTTGAATTGCTGGGTCTGAGAGAAATTTCTGGAGCAAGTGTTTCGAGCACATGTCGAGCTATTTCCCATGGCTCTCACACTATTTTGTATTCCCACCAGCAACATCTGAAGGTTCCAGTTTCTCCACATCTTCAGCACATCTTCAGTGCTTGCTTGTGATTGTAGGAAATCCTCGGGGTACGAAGCGGTACCTCCCTGTGGTTTCCCCTGCGTTTCCCTAACGGGTAGTGATGTTGCACATCTTTTACGTGCTCGTTGGCCATTTGTATGTCTTCTTTTGAGACCCATTGGTTCAAGTCCTTTGCCCATTTTTGAATCAGGTTATTTTGTTGTTGAGTTTTAGGGGTTCTGTATATATTTTGGATATTAATTTTTTTATCAGATATGTGATCAGCAAGTATCTTCCCATTCTGTCAGTTGTCTTTACACTCTGTTGATAACATCCTCTGATGTACAAAAAATTTTAATTTCACTAAAGTATATGTTGTTTTTTCTTTGTTGCCTGTGCTTTTGGTGTCATAGTCAAATCATTGTCTAATTCAAGGTCACGAAGCTTTTGCTCTAAGGTTTTGATCGATTTTATGTTAATTTTTGTACATGGAGTGAGGTAAGCGTCCAGTTTTCTTTTGCATTTAATTCCAGTTTTCCCAGCACCATTTGTTGAAAGGACTGCTCTTTTTCCACTGAATGGTCTTGGCTTCCTTATTGAAGATCTTTTGGCTGTAAATGTGGTGGTTTAGTTCTGGGCTCTCCGTTTTGTTCCAGTGGCCTAGGACACTTTTTTTTTTTCTGTAGCTTTGTAGTCAGTTTTCTTAAGTGCTTTTTCTTTTAAGTGCCGCTGAAGATTTTATTTTTGTTTTCAGTTTTTATTTTTTGTATATAATTTATTGTCAAATTGGTTTCCATACAACACCCAGTGCTCATCCCAACAGGTGCCCTCCTCAATGCCCATCCCCCACTTTCCTCTCTCCCCCACCCCTCATCCACCCTCAGTTTGTTCTCAGTATTTAAGAGTCTCTTATGGTTTGCCTCCTTCCCTCTCTGTAACTTTTTCCCCCCTTCCCCTCCCCTTGGTCTTCTGTTAAGTTTCTCAGGATCCACATATGAGTGAAAACATATGGTATCTGCCTGACTTATTTCACTTAGCATAACACTCTCCAGTTCCATCCACATTGCTACAAAAGGCCAGATTTCATTCTTTCTCATTGCCAAGTAGTATTCCGTTGTGTGTATAAACCACTATTTCTTTATCCGTTCATCCGTTGATGGACATTTCGGCTCTTTCCATAATTTGGCTATTGTTGAAAGTGCTGCTATAAACATTGGGGTACAAGTGCCCCTGTGCATCAGCACTTCTGTATCCTTTGGGTAAATTCCTAGCAGTGCTATTGCTGGGTCATAGGGTAGATCTATTTTTAATTTTTTGAGGAGACTCCAGCTGTTTTCCAGAGTGGCTGCACCAGTTTGCATTCCCACCAACAGTGCAAGAGGGTTCCCGTTTCTCCACTGTAGTCAGTTTTAAAATCAGGAAGTCCGAGTCCTCCAGCTTTGTTCTTCTCTTTCAAGATTGTTTTGGCTTTTTGGGACTCCTTAGAGTCGCCTCTGAATTTGAGGATTGGATTTTTCATTTCTGCAAAAAAAGACTATTGGAATTTTGACAGAAATTGCAGGAACCCGTAGATCACTTGGGGCAGTGCAACATTCAGACTTACAGTCCGCAAACACAGGTTGTCTTTCCACTTACTTAGGTCTTTCAGAATTTCTTCCAGCAATGTTTTGTAGCTTTCAGCGTGCAAGTCTTTTACCACTTTGGTTAAATTTACTTCTAGATATTCTTTTAGGATGTTGTTAAGTATGGTCGTAAATGGAATTGCTTCTTTAATTTCATTTTCAGATTGTTTATTGCTGGCGTATAGAAGCACAACTAATCTTTGTATGTTGATCTTGTACCCAGCAACTTTGCTGAGTGTCTTTCTTACAGATTCTTTAGAATTTTCTATGTATAGGATCTTGCCATCTGTGAAGAGAGGCTTTTTTTTTTTCTCCAATTTAGATGCCTTTAGCTTCTTACTTTCCTCAAATAAACCAGCTGGGAGTTTTTGTAGGGATTCTGTCGAATTGCAGATCAATTTGGGAGGTATCGCCACCTTGATTTAACAGTATTGATGTTCTATGAACACGGGATGTTTTTCCATTTGGTTAGGTCTTTAATTTCGTGCAGTGATACTTCATAGTTTTCAGCGTGTAAGCCTTATACTTGTTTTGTTAAATTTATTCCTAAGTATTTTATTATTTTGGATGCTGTTGTAAATGTTTTTTTTTTTTTAATTTCATTTTCAGGTTGTTTATCGCATAGAAATATAATTGGTTTTTTAAATATATATATATATTTTGAATTGTAGTAGGATACACATAAAATTTACCATCTTAATCAAGGTACGTTGTTGTGCAACCGTCACCACCGTCGTCTCCAGAACCTTTTCATCTTCCCAAACTGAAACTCTGTCCTCATTAAATCACTCACACTTCTTCCTTTCCTCAGCTCCCAGCAGCTGCCATCCTAGTTTCTGTCTCTGAATTTCACCGCTGTGGCTACTCTGCGTAAGTGGAATTATATACAGTATTTGTTCTTTCGTGACTGACTCATTTCACTTAGGTCCTCAAGGTTCATCCATGTTGTAAAGTATGTCAGAATTTCCTTCCCTTTTAAGGCTGAACAATAGTCCCTTGAATGTATACACCACATCTTTAATCTGTTCCTCTAGTGACACACACTGGGTTGCTTCTGCCTTTTGGCTCTTGTGAACAGTGCTCCTGTGAACGTGGGTGTGTAAATATCTCTTGGAGATTCTGCTTTCAATTCTTCTGAAGGTGTATCCAGAAGTAGAATTTTTGGCCATGTGGTGGTTCCGGTTGTAATTACACGGAACCACCACGCTGTTGTCTACAGCGGCTGTGCAATTTTACGTTCCTACCACGGTACCTGAGAGTTCCACTTTCCCCGCACACTCACTAACACTTTTTGTCTGTGTTTGATAGTAGCCATTCTAATGGGCGTGAGGGGAAAAATACAGTTGTTTTTTTGTATATTGATACCTTATCCTGTCACCCTTGATGAACTTGTTTATTTGCTCTGGGTTTTTTTTTTTTTGTTTTGTTTTTTGTTTTTTTTTTTGGTGGTGGTGGTGGTGGTTTCTCAGGGTTTTCTGTATGTGTGATTAGATCATCTGCAAATAAGGATAGTTTTACTTCATTCTTTCCAATCTGGGTGCTCTTTGATTTTCTTCCCTAATTGCTCAGGTTAGAATTTGCAGTACAATTTTGTGTAGAAACAAGAGTGGACATCCTTATCTTGTTCCTGATCTTAGGCAGAAGCTTTCAGGTTTTCACTACTGAGTGTGATGTTCTCTGTGCGTTGGCCATAGGTGTTCTTTTTGAGTTTTTTTTGCCCCCCCCCTTTTTTTTTTGTGAATCGTGAAAGAATGTTAGATTTTGCCCTGTGTATACTGAGAAGACCAGGAAGTGTGCTATTCGTTCTGTTAATGTGGCCTCTTACGGTTGCGTATGCTGAACCGTCCTTGTATTTCTGGGATAAATCTCACTTCATTATAGGTGTATGATTCCTTTAATATGCTGCTAAATTAGGTTAGTTTTTGTTGAGGATTTTTTCTTAAGAGATAATTGGCCTGAAGTATTCTTTTCTGGTGATGTTTTGTCTGGTTTTGGTAGGGTGATAACTGGCTTCATAGAATGAGTTAGGAAGTGTTTCCTTCTCTTTACTCTTTAGTTTTTTGTAAGAGTTTCAGTATTGGTGTTGATTCTTCTTTAATCATTTGGTTAGAATTCACTAGTGAAGCCATCTGGTTCTGGGTTTTCCTTTGTCAGAAGATTTTTGGTTGCCGATTTAGTGCCACTCTTACTATTCTGTTTAGATTCTCTTTCTTCCTGACTCAGTTTTGGTGTGGTGTGTTTCTAAGAATTTGTGCATTTCATCTGATTTGTTCATAGTATTCTTCTAAAATTCTTTTTTTATTTCTGCAAGGTTAAGTAACATCCTTTCTTTTATTTCTGTTTGTAGTCATTTTTCTTGATCCGGCGAAAGGATTATAGTAATTGTTGATCTTTTCAAAGAAACAACTTTTGGTTTTGTTCACTTTCTTCATTTTTCTCCCTGTTCTCCATTTCATCTGTCTCTGCTCTCATCTTTACTATTTCCTTCCTTCTGTCTGCATTGGATTTAGGTTGGCCTTATTTTTCTAGTTTGTGTAGAAAATTGGGTTATTGATTTGAGATTTTTCTTCTTTTTCATATAGGTGTTTACAAGTATAAATTTCCACGTAAGCACTGCTCTCTGCCTCCCATAAATTTTGGTATGTTGCATTTTCATTCTATCTTAATTTTCTGGTTTTCCTGTTGATTTCTTCTTTGACTGATGATTAGGAATGTGTTTAGATTTCTTGTATTTGTGAATTTCTCAATTTTTTTTTTTCTATTGATTTCTAATTTTATTCCACCAAGTCTGGAGAACATTTGCATGACTTCATGTCTCCCTGAGAATGTTACATGTTTGCTTGATGAGAATGTGTATTCTGCTGTCATTGGGTAGAGTGTCCTATAGATGTTTGTGAGGTCTAGTTGGTTTATAGTGTGGTTCAAGTCTTCTGTTTTGTTGTTACTTTTCTGTCTTGTCACTCATTACGTGAACACCTTAAGCTGAACAGTCTAGCTCAGTTAATACCAGTTAATCTCACTGGTGTACGAAGGCTCTGCTCCTCCTAGCTTTGTTGGCGTCCCCCTTACAAGTTAGTCTTCGTACATAGCGTGCTTGTTACTGCAGATTCCTGACGATTGCCTCCTACCGTGTGGCGGACATTCTTTCAAGGAGATGGGATAAAAAAGTTACGAACAAATTCATGGTCTTCTCTGTTTACCTGCCTGTGTAGTTCCTTTACTGGTGCTCTTTATTCCTTCACGTGGATTCAAGTTACTGTTTAGTGCCCTTTCATTTCAGCCCGAAGGTTCCCTTTAGTATTTCTTGTAGGGCCGGTTAGCTAACAACAATTTTTTTTTTTCAGTTCTTGTTTGCCTGGCAGTGTCTGAATCATTCCTTCATTCCAAAGGATAGTTTTATAGATGAAGAGCTCTTGGTTGACGGTCTTTCGGCACTAAGATTTTCTTGAATGCCTGGAACCAAGCAGTCTTTGCCAAGGGGCTCCACACGCACGCAGGGACCGCCATCACCACTCAGCATGGCAGTTGCAGCTGTACTCAGCCTTCAGTTCCTCAGAGCCTCAGATCAACAGAAAGCGAGGGCCTTTGAAGGTCTTTCTAGAGCCTGCGCATGGCCTTCTAGAGCCCTGTGTACATCTCATTATTCAGCCTTTCCATTTTAGCATTAGGCTAAGCCTGATTGTTTGCCATGACTGTTACCACTCTCTCAGGTAGCTGTGCAGTGAAACCGTGCTTCACAAATGCCCCTGGGAGGACGCCCCTTCTGCACCTGCTCGGCTCTGAGGTAATGAAGATGGGAGTCCCAGAGATGGGTCATATAATGACCATTCTTTGGGCATGAGGCTTTGGAGAAACTCCTGCTCCGTTCAGCCCCCCTGCTGGCTGCCAGACTTCCTTTTCACCAGGATTGGGGTTGTTGGTTTTTAGGGTTTCCTTGGAGCTGGAGAGAGGGTTGGGAATAGAGCACTAAAAATGCCACAAAGCTGGGGCGCCTGGGTGGCTCATTCGGTTAGGTGCCGACTTCAGCTCAGGTCATGATCTCACAGTCTGTGAGTTCGAGCCCCGCATCGGGCTCTGTGCTGACAGCTCAGAGCCTGGAGCCCGCTTCAGATTCTGTGTCTCCCTCTCTGTCTGCTCCTCCCCCACTCGCACTCTGTCTCTGTCTGTCAAAAATAAACATTGAAAAAAAAGTTAAAAAAAAATGCCACAAAGCTCAGTGTTCTTAGATTTGGCCATTTTTCTTGAATAAACGCTCCCTAGATTGTTGCAAGCCTTTGGTTAATTTTCAGAGTTCTGAAAGTTTTGATTCTGACAGTTTTTGCCAGTTTTCTCATTGCCCTTATGGAGGAGAGAATTTCCAGAGGTCTTTACCACCACCATTTTTGCTGACTCACCCCATCTTTTCTTTGTGTTGTTGTAACTTTCTAGTCTCTTAGGGAAAAGAAGGTATGTGAGCCACTCCCTTTGGGAGATGGTGTTCATTGTCACCGTTCATTTTTAAGAGCTATTTTTTTCTTTGTTCATTTAACTGATACAGTATGGAACTGTAGTAATTAGGTCACCCGATTTCCCAGAGGTAACCCACGTTGTTAGTTTGCACATCCTTCCACACTTCTGCCAACACAAATGTACATACTATCCTGGGGGCCCGAGATGATGCCTTTCCCCACATGTTTTCTAGCATGTGCTCACTCACATGTGTACATGTATACTTTCATAAAGCAAATATGGGGTCTCAGCATATGCAGTTGCTGTGCTTTTTTCTCTTCATCCTGGAGATTTATTTCTTGTGTATCCTTCAAGGCTTTTCCAGTGCATATTTGGATATGACCTGTGGATGCACTTCTTTTTCTTTTCTTTTTTTCTTTTTAAGTAAAGTAACATCACTTCCACTCACCTGAATTGCTTTTTTCCTCGAATAAATGTTGGTGATTTTTACCTTTACCTCTTCTGTTAGCTGGATGTCATTTACTCATTCCTTCACGTATCAAGTGGCTTTCTGTGTCCTGGCCCGTGAGAGCGGATGCACTGCAAAGTTGTTTCCAGACCTCGCTGTTACAGTTAGGCTGCACTGAACGTCCCCGACCTGGTGACATTCATAGGTTTGCCAAAGTCTGGGGATACCCACATTTAAAATTTGACGGAAACCAGCGACTTGACTTTCAAAAGGTTGTGCCGATTTGTCTTTTCCCCAACAACATGAAGTTGCTTGTTAGCCATACCCTCCTCTCCCTGAATATTACAAGTTTAAAGATTTGTTCATCCGATGGCCAGAATTGAGCCCGACCGTTTTGCGAGACTGGTCTGTCGTTTTGGAAAGGTGCTTGCTGCCAGCTGCCCTGCTCCCATGGAGGGCTGGGGTTTCCTGGGGTTGGAGCCAGGCCCCGCCCCCACTAGTGCTGGTGCGCACCTGGAGGTGGTGACCTTCAGCACCCTTGTGCTCACCTCAGCTCTCCCGTCAGTCGCTGACACCGCTTGGCGCTTTCTTAACAGGTGGCAACCGGGAAATGGAAGCAGATAAGTAAATACTGCCCCCTCGATCTCTACTCAGGGTAAGAGAACACTTCTCCTTTGTCCCTATGTCACCTTCCATGGGGGTGGTGGTGGGGTGTGTTCTGTGAGGGGTGGGGGTGGGGTGGGCAGGGGGGCTGCTCTCTGCGGCGGGGGCGCGGGCTGGGCAGGGCTCCCGGTTCTTGTCCGGGTTCTTGTCCGGGAGTTGCCTCCTCGGGTGACCTTTGGGAGGAGGTGGCTGGGGAGATGTTATCACCAGGAAGGCCTAGAGAGTGGTGGGCACGGGGGGCAGTGATGGGGAGCCTCCCTGAGGAAGGCTGGGGGAATGTGGCTCCTTGACCCACAGAGCCTGAGGTTCCTGGCAGCCGCCCCGAGGCCCATGCCCCAAGTCAGGGCCCCTGAGCCACAGGTAGCCGGTAGTCCCATTGGGGTGAAGTTCTCTCGTCAGAATGGTAAACAGAGAATGCACTTTGCTTTGAAGAGCTTGTTACAGGAAGCTCAGAACAACTTAAAGATATTTAAGGTAAGAGTAGTTTATTTCCACAGTAAGAATTTTATTGTGGGGCCAGTGGGATCCAAACTTTGAGTGAACCTGCGGCGCATCGCCTGCATTTTGCAGGTGAGGGTGTCTTGGGCTGGAAGCTGCCGTGGCAAAGTCCCAAGCGGTCCTTTTCCTGAGCCTCGTGCTCCACAGGTGGCATCCTGTGACCCTGGAGGTGTGAGACTTTTAGTCTGAGCACTGGGCTGCCTTGGGCCTGCCTCTGTTCCTGATGAGATGGCCCTGACCTCGCTACAGTCCCTGGGGCACGCATTCTGATGGGTGGCCACACCTGTGCTTTTGCTCTGTGGATCGTTCAGGAACTTGATTCCCAGATCTTGTCAGCTCCGGGTGAGTTCTCAAAGTCTCAGGCTCATCACCCGCGATCCTGGCTGGGTGGGGAAGGCTTCTCCTGCCCACCGAGCCCCTCGCCGCCGCCATCAGCACAGGCACTGTCAATCTGCAGGTGCCCTGAGGCCCCGTCACCTGTTGGGCAGGGCCGGGCCCGGGGTGGAGCAGGACTGCCCAGGATCTGGAGGAGAAGCCTGGGCTGCGTGGCCTGTGTTGGAAATGTGTCCCCCCAGGTCTCCTCCTTACTACTCCCTTCCTCCCTCCTCCTGCCCCCAGCCCCGGGGATGTCCTCATTGGTGTTATGTGTGGAAGAGTCCAGGGGTCTCAGGATCATGAAAGCACTGGATGTAAGAAGCAGGCTGTCGAACATGTGGGCTGCCTTGTGCCCTGTCCCGGCCCATCGGATGGTGCTGCTCTGGGCACTGGATGCCCCTCAGCTGGGTGCTTGGGCATGGGCGTGGGGGAGCCTGCAGACGAAGCCTCCCATCTGGCTCAGAAATGTGGTCCCAGTGAACTGCGTTCACCCCGTCTGCCTCCACCTTCCTGAATCCAGAAAAAGAGGACAGATTTCACAATCAGTTCTTTTTTGTTTGTTTAAAATTCATTTATTTAAATTCGAGTTAGCTAACATACAGTGTAGTGTTGGTTTCAGTAGATCCCAGTGATTCATCACTTACATATGGCACCCAGTGCTCATCACAAGTGCCCTCAATGCCTGCCTTCCATGTCACCCAATCTCGCCCATCTCACCCACCTCCTCCCGCCAAAAGTAACCCTGTTTGTTTCATATTTAAGAGTTTCTCTCTTTTTGTAATGTTTATTTATTTTTGAGAGACAGAGGGAGACAGAAGACCCAAAGCAGGCTCTGAGCTGACAGCAGAGAGCCTGATGTGGGGCTTGAATTCATGAACTGTGAGATCATGACCTGGAGCTTTAAGTTCACTTAACCAACTGAGCCACTCAGGCGCCCCTTAAGAGTCTCTTATGGTTTGTTTCCCTCTCTGTTTTTATTTTTTCTTCCCTTCCCCTATGTTCATCTGTTATGTTCCTTAAATTCCACGAGTGAAATCATAAGATATTTGTCATTTTCTGCCTGACTTACTTTGCTTAACGTAACACTTTCTAGCTCCATCTGCCTCATTGGAAATGGCAAGATTTCATTGTTTTTGGTCACCAAATAGTATTCCACTGTGTGTACGTATGTATATATCCATTCATCAGTTGATGGACATTTGGGCCCTGCATAATACGAATTTAGTGCCATCGTGTTATCTGTAGATTTGGTGTTTCTGGTGATAGTCTCTGGTCGTTTGTAGCCTTTGCTGCTTTGGTCTTTTTTTTTTTTTTTTTTTTTTTTTTTTCCTTTCTTTTTCTCCACTGAGAGAGTTCCCCTTAAAATTTCCTGCAGGGCTGGTGGAGTGGTCATGAACTCCTTCAGTTTTTGTTTGTCTGGGAAAGCCTTGATCTCTCCTTCTGTTCCTAATGACAGCCTTGCTGGATAAAGGGTTCTTGGCTGCATATTTTTCCTATTCAGCACATTGACTATTTCCTGCCAGTCCCTTCTGGCCTGCCAAGTCTCAGTGGACAGGTCTGCTGCTACCCTTATGTGTCTACCCTTGTAGGTTAAGGCCCATTTGCCCCTAGCTGCTTTCAGAATTCTTTCTTTATCTTTGTATTTTGCCAGTTTCACTATGATATGTCTTGGTGTTGAACCGTTTCTGTTGATTTTGAAGGGAGTTCTCTGTGCCTCTTGGACTTGGATGCCTGTTTCCACCCCCAGATTAGGGAAGTTCTCGGGTATAATTTATTCAGATAAACCTTCTGCCCCTTTTTCCTGTCTCTTCTTGTGGGACTCCTGTGATATGGATATTGTTTCACTTCATTGAATCATTTAGTTCTTTCATTCTCCCCTTGTGATTTAGTAATTTCCTTTTGTCACCTGCATCATTTTCCATGATTTTGTTTTTATTTTCTATTTCACCTGGTCTCTCCCCTGCTTCTTCTAGCCTCACTGTCAATGTATCTAGTTTGTTTTACATCTCAGTTATGGCATTTTTTTAAAAAAATTGTTTTTTCAACGTTTTATTTATTTTTGGGACAGAGAGAGACAGAGCATGAACGGGGGAGGGGCAGAGAGAGAGGGAGACACAGAGTCGGAAACAGGCTCCAGGCTCTGAGCCATCAGCCCAGAGCCCGATGCGGGGCTCGAACTCCCGGACCGTGAGATCGTGACCTGGCTGAAGTCGGCCGCTTAACCGACTGCGCCACCCAGGTGCCCCAGTTATGGCATTTTTTAATTTCATCCTGAATAGGTCTCAGGCCTTTGATTTCTGCAGCAAGAGTTTCTCTGGTGTCTTCTTCGCTTCTTTCAAGCCCAGCTCATAGTCTTATGACTGTTGTTCTGAATTCTTGTTCAGATATGTTGCTTATATCCGTTTTGAGTAAGTCCCTGGTTGTGATTTCTTCTTGACCTTTCTTTAGGGGAGAATTCCTCCGTCTTCTCATTTGGCTAAGTTTCTGTTTGTGTGTGTTTTAAAAGCTTGCTATGTTTCCTGCACCTGAGAGTACCGCTATATTAAAGGGGTCATACACTGTCCAGGGCTTTGCAGTTCAGGAGGGGTTTCTGGTGTGTGCTGTGTACATTGTGCTCTTGTGTTTTGGCTGCTCTTTCCCGCTGGTCAGTGCTCTGCGGAGCTCCCTCTTGCTTGCCGTGGGGGAGTGTTTGGACCTTTAGGTGTCCTTTGATTCGTTTGTTGAAGTAAGCTAGGAAAAAAGGAGAAAAAAATAAAAGGAAAGGGAGTAAAAAAACAGAAAACTATAAAGCTGATTCCAAAGAATAAGAAAGGAAGGACATCTGGGTGGCTCAGTCGGTTAAGCTCCAACTTCAGCTCAGGTCATGATCTTGCAGTTTGTGAGTTCAAGCCCCACATCAGGTTCTGTGCTGACAGCTCACAGGCCTGGTGCCTACTTAAGGATTCTGTGTCTCCTTCTCTCTGCCCCTCCCTGCTTGTGTTCTGTCTGTCTCTCTCTCTCTCAAAAATAAACAAACATTAAAAAAGAAAAAAGAAAGAAAAAGAATTAAAAAGACTGATCCACAAAATAAATAGAAGGAAATGATAAAAAAAACAAAAACAAACCCCAGAAACTATGAGGCTGATTCCAATAGGAAAACCAAAAACCAAAAACTGCAGGTATCATTTAAATTAAAAAAATTTTTTTTAAATGTTTTTATTTATTTTTGAAGGAGAGAGAGAGACAGAGCATGAACGGGGGAGGGGCAGAGAAAGAGGGAGACACAGAATTTGAAGCAGGCTCCAGGCTCTAAGCTGTCAGCACAGAGCCCAACGCGGGGCTCGAACCCACAGACTGTGAGATCATGACCTGAGCCCAAGTCGGACGCTTAACCGACTGAGCCACCCAGGCGCCCCTGCAGGTGTCCTTTTAAAGCACTCGATTTTCAGTACACTTGGTGCATCAGGGGGCTGGCTGTGCTGATCTTCTGGAGGAGAGGCCCACTGTGCTGGCTCAGAGTCTTGCCCCAGTAGATAAGCAGTTGACGGGGACAGGGGACGGTGTCTGCTGTGAGCAGGTCCCGCCTCCACTGGGGGCCTCTCCGTGGCTCTCTGAAGTCCTGCCATGTTGTTGAAGGGCAAGTGGCGCCATCCCAATCTCTCGTCCCCAGACGGATTCTCATACTCCCCACTGTTCAGGCAGCCGTCACAGAGTAGCGAATCGGGCAGTCAGCTCCCTGTGCGCCACAGCTCTCCCGTGTTTCTTCTTTGGTGTGCTTCGGGGATTCAAAACCCGAAATGTTAGAGGACTTGGCACCACGTGGATCCTCGCCCCTCCTCCAGAGTAGAGCCTCTGTGTGCTGTGTCTGAAGCCCTTTGTCCCCGAAGAAAGACCCACGCCTGCACAACGTGCTGAATTTGTGGTGTAGCACTGCTAAAAGCATCAAGGCTCATATTCCCTCTGGGTGTGCCTCTGTCTTCTGCTGATAAAAGGTCTTTGGCTGGTGCCTGCAGGGTCTTTTGCCCTTAGGGAGGCAATATATACCCTGTTCCAACAGTACTCTAGGAAGGGGACTGTCCACGCACCTCACACCTGCTAAGCTGTCGCCTCCAACCGTGGGGATCATTCTGCCATTCTGCAGATGGATTTTCCTGGGTTTTCCAAGTGACCTGGCCTCAATATGGTTGTGTTTGAGGGACGAGGAAAGCCCAGGGTCTCCCTGCTTCTCCTTTGCCATCTTAACTCCTCCTCAGTTCTTATTTTTAATTCTTACAAAGACTGAAGGAATTTCATATTTAAAGCCTAAAGATAAATCTCCTTCATCTGCGGATTGCTTTGGAACAATCTGGAACCTTCAGTGAGGCTAGTATTTTTCCCGGTGGGCCCTTTTCTGACTGTTCTTGCCTGCTGGGCCCGCAGTGAGGGGAGTGGCTTGGCCCCTGCTGTGGGGCGGGGCCTGGAGGGCTTGCTTTTGCTAAAATCAGAGTGGAAACAACACAGAGGTTGCGATAATAGTTCCAAAAGAGTGAGATTAAGAGAAGGGACACAGAATGGCTTTTTTTTTTTTTAACGTTTACTTATTTATTTTGAGACAAAGAGCACAAGCAGGGGATGGATAGAGAGAGACAGAGAATCCCAAGCAGGCTCCAGGCTGTCAGCACAGAGCCCGATGTGGGGCTTGATCCCACGAACCATGAGGTCATGACTCAAGCTAAAACCAAGAGTTGGATGCTTAACCAACTGAGCCCCCGAGGTGCCCCCAGAATGGCTTTTTAAGATAATACCAGGAGCAGTGAAGCCCATCACTGCAAGTGCCATCGCTGCTTGTGAGTCAGGCTTTGGTTCTCAAGTTCAGGTGTGCCCCATTGCCTGCTGTGGGAGCCGCCTCCCCGTTGGCCCGACTCCACGGCTGTGGCTGTATCCACCCCCACGCTGGACGCTTGTGAGACGTGGGGGGGGGGACAAGCAGCTTTGTAGTGGAGCCCAGGGCAGCGGCGCTCCAGGGAAGGTCACATGATGTCCTGAGTGGCTGTACTTGTATAGATTTTAGACACTGGGGAGAAGAGGCTTTCCACTGTCCAGCAGTCACTCAGCTGCTCGCAGGCCTGGAGAAGGGCAGCTTTGCGGGGGCTGAGGTGGCTCTTGTCCTGGACTGTGGGCCGAGCCCTGGGCCCACCTCTTGGCTGCAGTCCCCAGGGCCTGGTTTTGCTTAGCGCTTCATTGTGGTCCACTCCCCCCAGGGACTCCTGCGTACCCTCTGCCTTCTTCCTGCAGCAGGGCCCATGTCCAGGGTCAGTCGTCTCATGAGGGTTCCCCTGGCCCCATGGCCAGCAGGGGCCTCAGCTGTGTGCCTCTTACTCAGATGTCCATACCTCTGAGCTTGAATGTGTGACAGGACACCCAGTGGAGGCACTGTGCGCCACTGAACCCCCGAGCTTGATGAGGGAGGAATGCCCTGTCCACACCTCCTGGGCTGGATTGATTCTCCTCTGCCACCTGAGGACAGAGCTGTGACTACCCTGCTTTGTATTCTCCACTGTGTAACAGTCACATACCGTCTCTCATGGTTTCTGGGACCTGGAATCGAGCAGCACAGCTGGCTCTGGCTCGGCCCTCTGGGGGCTGTGTCCCCTCTGATGGCTCAGCCCTCTGGGGGCTGTGTCCCATTTTACGGCTTGGCCCTTCGATATCTCGGCCTTCTGGGGGCTGTGTCCCCTCTGATGGCTTGGCCAGGGCCCAAGACTGTGCTTCTAGGATGGCACCTTGGTTTCTGGCCGCGGGGGCACGAGGGGCTGCTCAGCGTGGCTGTGTGGTTTGAGGGGAGGCATGGGAGGGAAGCCACAGCGTCTTTTACACCTTAGTCTTGTAGGGGATGTGTGGCTACTTCGCCTTTGCAGTGGGGAGAGGGCTGCAGGGTGTATCAAGGGGCCACTGGGGACCGTGTGGAGGCTGCTGACCGCCCCGTCTCTCCTATGTGGGAACCAGGGGCAAGGAGTCGGTCACTCCCCTGGGTTAGCTGTGGCTCACGGGTCACAGGGTCAGCCTGTGCTCACATCCCTGCTCACAGCCCTGGGAGTGTGGTGCCGTGGGGGATTCTTTGCTAGACTTGGTTTTAAAAGGCTGGATGGCCTTGAAGATGAAACTCTCCACACTAATGACACTGGCAGCCTCACCTGCCCTGCAGAGGACAGGACTGACATCCACACTGGCTGAGAAGTCTGTGTGTCCCCCAGTAGCATGGGCATCACGTGGCTTCTCGAGCGACAGGCTGGGGTCTTTGGGAGTTTGGGCCTAGGGCTGAGGTTGCCTGAGGCCCCGTGTAGTGCACGTTCTCCTGAGGCTTTGTGTCTCAGGCCAGGCCGGTCCTCACTTTTTGAGAACGTTTTCTTTTTCGTGTTCTAATGGGGTTTGACTCTTGGTCAGTGACATGGTGTGTGAAGGTGGGTCTGGGAAACCCAGACAGAGACAGGTAGGGGGTCAAGTCCCTTTACCTGCTCAGTGGGCAGGGACAGAGGTATTTCGCCCCAGCCTGTGGAGTTGACACCGTCCTGTCTCTCTCTCCGCCTGAAGAATGGTGAGCTGATTTATGGCTGCAAAGACGCCCGCAGTCCCGTGGCCGACTGGAGCGAGCTTGCACACCACCTGAAGCCGTTCTTCTTCCCGTCCAACGGCCTGGCTGGCGGGCCCCACTGCACGGGTGCCGTGATCCGGGAGCTGGTGCGTGTTATCACGCGGGTGCTGCTGAGTGACTCTGAAAAGGGCCGGGCTGGCGCCCTGAGGCTGGGGCCAGGCCCGCAGGGCCCTCGTGTCTGTGAAGCCAGCCCTTTCGGCAGGAGCCTGCGCCACCAAGGTAGGCCACGCTGGGTGTAGGGGCGGGCAGAGCGTGTGGTGCATCCTGCCAGGGTCCTGCCTGGCCTCACGGAGCACTTGTGGGAGCAGCCTGGGCCCCGTCGGGGCCCCCCAAAGCCCCCCAGCCCCCGTGGGGAGACCTCCCCGCCGTCTCATCTTTTATCTGGGTTTTTAAGTTGCGGTACACGTTTGGGCTGTAGGGTTTTCCCTGAAAACATCGCCCCCTGTGTCTGTGCGTCCTCTGGTTTGTCAAGGGCTTTCCTACAGTCTCCCGTCTCGTGGTTGCCACCCTGGAAGGGTAGGTTTTCTGTGGCTGGTGGAGAACTGGGGCTCAGAGGGTCAGGGTCCCACAGCTCGAGGCCCTTGCGGGTGGGGCGGGGGGCCCAACTGTGACTCAGTGGGTGTCCCAGCTTTGAGGCCGCCCCGTGGGTGGTTTGGGCTTTTGCCGTGAATGTTCATGGGATCCTCGTTTGTCCCTTTGCCGCCTGCTGGTGGGCTCCATACGTCCGGCCTGCGGCGTGTGGGAGAGCCACAGCCAGGAGCCGGGAGGTCAGGGTGTCAGTACTGCACACGGCTGCAGCTCCCCCTGCAAGGACTCAGACCCATCCTGGTGTTTGTTCCTGGGACACGGCTGCTCCTTAGAAGGCTGAGAGATGGGCCGGGACCCCGACTTCCCAGGCCTCACAGCACCTGCTGCACGGCAGGGACCCAAGAACGCTCGCTTGTGGGATGGACCTCGCGTCCACACCGACCACGATGACCACTCCCTGCTGCGGGTATCAGTGGCAGCTTTGACCGCCATCCTGTGTGGCCACCCGCCCATCAGCCTGGGTTGTGGTTCGGGGCCCCGCAGACACGGTTGAGCAGATGTGATGACGGTGTGGTCACTTTAAATTTTGTGCTTGGCTCATCTAGCTTGAGGGCCGTCTCTGCACTGAGACCTGGGCTGGGGTGTGGAGTTGGAGGCCCTGGACAGGGAGGAGCAGGAGACACGGGGCCCCTGCTGGTCTGTGGTGCCCGGCCCCGTGCCCCAGCCGTTCTGTGAGGCAGGGTGTGGCCTGTCCCCAGGCTGTGTTCCATCCTTGACGGTAAACCTCTTGTTTTCCCGATGTTCTCGGTAGGAAAAAGCGCCCCGGAGTGCTCGGGGTTACCGAAGGGCTGTCTTCTGTACAAAACCCTCCAGGTGCAGATGTTGGACCTGCTGGACATCGAAGGCCTCTACCCTCTGTACCGGCGGGTTGAGCGGTACCTGGAGGAGTTTCCTGAGGAGAGGTGAGGCCCAGGCCCTTGGCACCCCTGTGCTGCCTAGGCTGAGTGGGCCCCGAGCTTTCCTGAGGGGAAGACGGGGCTGGGGGAAAGGGGTCATCCTAATGGGAGGACTGCCCGCCCAGCCTGGGGTTCGGTTCCTGTGGCAGGAGCAGGGCTGGCTGGCAGTCCTGTCCTGAGTCGGCGGAGCCTGCAGGGGGCAGTGCTGCTCCACAGCCGCCCAGGGCTGCTCCTGCCACCTGGCCGCCCTCCCTCCGGGGGGGGGGTCTCCCGGGTCAGTGCCACAGGCTTGTGGCTGGGCTGCGGTATTTCCCGGATCTGGACCCCCTGTCTCCCCAGCCGCCACCCCTCACTAGCGTCTCTGACTGGATGCCATTTGTCACAGCAGGAGACGGCCTGGGCTTCCTGGTTCTGGTCTTGCATGTTCTGTTTAAAACTAACGCTTCAGAATGATGTTTAGTGTCAGGAGGAGGTGGGTCTTCTAGGTGTTCTTTAAAGGCAGATGTGTGATTGTTAGATCGTTAGCAGTTTCAGAAACCGTTTCCGGGCAGCTTTGCCATCCTGTTTTTTGCACTTTCTCCTTCAGAAAAACATTGCAAATAGATGGGCCTTATGATGAAGCGTTTTACCAGAAGTTGCTTGATCTTTCCACCGAGGACGACGGGACAGTGGCCTTTGCACTGACGAAGGTGGGCGGACCCTTCTGGAAACGCTGTGTGCTCCTTAGGTTCTTCACACTAGCTTGGGGCTTTCCTAAGACATGTGGTTTTCCATTACCTGTCCCTGGTGGTTAAAGCAGAAAAACTGGGATTAAAAAAAAAGGGGGCCGAGTTTCCCCCAGGTGGCCTGGGGAAGGTGACACGTCAGCTTTCAGGGAGGATTTCCGTTCTTCCTGTTGGCTCCAGGCCACCCAGCCCCAGCCCTGTGGCCGTGTGTGGGTGGCATCCCTCCCCAGAACTCGGGCCAAGGGCAGCCTGGGAGGACGTCCCCAGGAGGAGGCCTGGTCCTGCCCGAGGGACTTTGAGGCTCACTGAACCTGCATAGGAGAAAGCGTCTTTACTTTCAGTGCCCTCTGACTGAAATGCTGCATTTCCTCCATTATGAATGTGGCAACAACCACTGTCGGGTCATCAGGACCCCCGACTTTGCCACCGAGAGAAACCAGACCTTCTTGTTTCACACGATAGTTGCCGTAGATACCTCGCGGTACCTGAGCTTTTGTGGCGCAGGACTGTGTCCTACGTTGTTTTAAACAGTATTCTGGCATTTGATAGAGTCATCCTGCTGTTTATTTTCTGCATTTAGAGATGTTATTCTGAGAGGGACCCATAGGCCTCACTGTGCTGTCACGGGTTTTGCTAAATGCTAACGCGGCTGGTTGCGAGTGAGGGACACGAGGGAGGTGTAGAGCAGATGACCCCCTCCAGGTACACGCGGGCAGCTGCCCGGGAGCCTTGGCTCACCTGCTTGGGGCCCCACGCGGCTCTGGCTGCCCCTCTCCTGCAGCGCTCATGGTGTCGAGGAAGACGACGGAGGCGGCCCCTCCCGAGTGCAGGGCCATGGTGGGGAGGTGCTCGGGGCAGAGCTGTGCTCGGGGTGGGGAGACAGCCAAATGTGGAGCCTCTGCACCAGAATAAAGCGACAGTCTGCCCTACGTTGTCTGCAACTTGGGGGCGCATTGCTTCTCTTTCCAAAGAAGCTGTATGAAAGACTTCTTTTTTGTACGTTTCTATATTTTTCAGAGTTTTTACCAGATAAATATGTAAACGTGTGTGTAACCATAATTTTGTGGTGAGAGACCCAGGCAGTCATTACTCCACTGCCAAAATGGCTGAAACCAGTGCCACCCCGGGCTGGTGCAGGGCGTTGCCGCGGAGAAAACGGTCACTGGACCGTGCCAGGGGTGGGTAGGAAACCATGTGGGGAAACACGAAAGCTTCTCACAAACTAAACCTGCATGAACCCTGCCACCTGGCCTCTCTCTCCGGGGCATGTGTCACAGAGAAGGGAATGCTTCTTCTCACAAGCCCTGAGCACTGGACACAACCCAGGGGTCCACCAGCAGGTGACCTACGGCAGGTGACACGCTGGCAGTGCTAAGCAACCAGTGACCTGGCCACATCACCAGGGTGCCATGCGGGGTGATGGAACTGGTCCCAGAAGGTTACACACTAGGATTGTTTCTATGACATTCTTTTTTAGAGGTTTTATTTTCAAGTAATCGCTATGCTCAACATGGGACTTGAACTCACAACCCTGAGATCAAGAGTTGTGGGCTCTACCGACCGAGCCAGCCAGACGCCCCTCTCTGACATTCTTGGAATGACAAAGATGAGCGGTGGCCGTGGTTTGGGGAGGTGGAAGGAAGGTGGGTGTGGCTATAAAGGTCAACTCAAGGCATCCTTGTGACGGGTCTGCCGTGTATCTTACCGTGGTGGTGGGTGAACACGTGTGGCCACACTACACGCGCACACACTGGAATGAAACTGCAGAGAGTACCAGTGTCCCTGTCTTTGCTGGATGCCATCCTGTGTGAGTTTTGCAAGATGTCATCATTGAGGGAGGCTCGGTGAAAGGTGCTCGGGTCTCTGCGTTATTTCTTACACCAGCACGTCAACCTAGAATTACCTCCAGAACAATCTAATGAAAAGGATTCAAGCAGTGAGTAGACTGTGTAATTGTGACCGTGCTCCTGCCCTTCTGTCTCTCAGTTTGGGAGACTGCCCACGTTACATGCACCGGTTGCCAGCACGCATTTAGCAGACCGTCGCTTGAGGTCTCTTTGTTGGGATGTAAGGGTCTGCCTGTTTTTGTTTTAGGGAGTTAGGTTCTGGTAGGTGCGAACCTGAAGAGGGCTGGCTATGGAGGCAAGTGGTGGAGCAAGTGGAGGTCATTCTGATGCTACAGACGAAATTCCTTCAAGAACTCACTGAGCCTCCGACCTCTGATGAGCTGAGGGACTATTCCCTTTATTTTGAGGCTCCGGAAACTGTAGCCCGAAGAGACCCTTGATGTATCGCGTAGAATTCCACAGGAGGGTCAACACGCTTGTGGAAAGGGCCGGACAGATGCTTGAGATGGCTCAGAGCCTCTGGCCTCTTACACGTGCTCAACGTGCCATGTAGTTCAGAGGTAGCCATAGATCAGCCCAAAGCAGTGCCGCTGTGTTCCAGTCAAACTTCATGTACAAAACAGGTGGTGAGCTGGGTCTGGCCCCTGGCCCGTGGCTCGCTGACCTCTGTTTACTTTGCATGTCAGTTTTTATGTTCCGTTTTTCACTCCATCGGTTTGGAAGTTGCACATTCTGTTCCTATCCTTGAAGTGGTTCCTTGTCCGGTCTGATGTTAGTGACTTCACCCACCCACCCTGCCCCACCACACACACTCAGAACACGAGGAACTGGGTTCACTCCACTTCTCACTCCCACCTTTCAGGCAGCTGCTTGTCTGGGGCTCTTCTTGTTCTTTTCTAAAGTCGCAGTTTACAGCACCGTTCACTCCTGTCTTTGCCCATCGTTCTTACATCTTGCTTAGAACTTTCCTTTGTTGCCTTTTTTTTCAATAATGGGTTTACTGAGATACAACTTACATGTCATACAACTTACCTGTTTAAAGTAACTCCGTGGTTTCCACTACATGTGCACCTATCCCCAGTCAATTTTAGAACATTTTCATCACCTCAGAAAGAAATCTTCTCCACCGCCCCCCCCCACCCCCAGCTCTAAGCACCCACCAAGACTTTCTGTCTCTGCGGATGTGCCTAGTGCAGTCACTGCGTATACACGGAGTCCTTCAATCCTTGGTCCATTATGACTGTGACTGGCTTCCTTCACTTGGCATGTTTCCCAGGTTCATCTGCATTGTAGCATCCATCAATACTCTCTGCCTTTTATAGCTGAAAAGTACTCCATTCTACGGGCACATTCCATTTTATGCATTTATTACTGGTGGACATTGAGTTGTTTCCGCTTTTTGGCTATTACGAATAATGCTGCTATAAATGTTTGTATACAAATTGTTGTGCGGACATGTTTTTATTTTTCTCAGCTATACACATAGGAGTGGAATTGGTGGGTCAAATGATAACGTACATTTAATTCTATTGGGATCTGCCAGACTGTTTTCTAGACTGGCTCTCCCATTTGACATTCCCACTTAACTTAAAAATTTTTTTTTAATGTTTATTTTTGAGAGAGAGAGAGAGAGAGCGAGGGAAGGAAGGAGGGGGGGGAGAGAGAGAGAGAGAGAAAATGAATGGGGGAGGGTCAGAGAGAGAGAGGGAGACACAGAATCTGAAGCAGGTTCCAAGCTCCCAGCGCTCAGCACAGAGCCTGACATGGGGCTTGAACTCACGAATGGGGGGAGATCACGACCTGAGCGGAAGTCACATGCTTAACGACTGAGCCACCCAGGCGCCTTTCCGATTTGGATGCCTTTAATGTCTTTTCCTTGCATAGCTGCCCTAGCTAGAATTTTTAGTACAATGTGAAACAGATGTTGCAAGAAGAGACATCCCTGATTTGTTCCTGGTTTTGTTGGGATAGCATTCAGTCTTTTTTTTTTTTTTTTTTTAATTTTTTTTTTTTAACGTTTATTTATTTTTGAGACAGAGAGAGACAGAGCATGAACAGCGGAGGGGCAGAGAGAGAGGGAGACAGAATCTGAAACGGGCTCCAGGCTCTGAGCTGTCAGCACAGAGCCCGACGCGGGGCTCGAACTCACGGACCGTGAGATCATGACCTCAGCCGAAGTCGGACACTCAACCGACTGAGCCACCCAGGCACCCCCAGTCTTTCATCATTATGTACATGTTAGCTGTGGGCTTTTCATAGATAATCCTTTATCAGGTTTTCATAGATAATCCTTTATCAGGTTGAAGAACGTCCCTTCTTTTCCTAATTTGTTGAGTGTTTTTGTCAAGAACGGATGTTGGAGTTTATCAAAGATCTTTTCTGTAGCAATTCAGATTATCATTGTTTTTCTTTTTCTTTCTTTTTTTAAAAAATTCTGTAGATAAGGCATATTACATTAATTTGTTTTTGGATGTTAAAACCAACCTCACATTCCTGGGATAAATCACACGAGGTCATGGCATATGATTGTTCGTATATGTTGCTAGATTCAATTTGCTATTATATTGTTGAGGATAATAGTATCCACATTTATAAGAGATACTGGTCTGCAATTTGCATTTCTTATGATGTCTGTTTTGGTTTTGGTTATCAGGTAATACTGGTGTTGTCAAGTCAGTTGGGAAGAATTCCAGCTTCTTACTTTTTGGAGGGGTTTGAGAAGGATTGATGCTAAGTATTCTTTAAGTATTTGATAGAATTCAAATACTTGAATACTTGAAGCCACTTGAAGCCACCTGGGCCTGCACTTTTCTTTGTAGTTAGTGTTTTGATGCCCAGTTCAGTCTTTTTTGTAGGTCTGATGATACTGTTTCTTTGAGTCAGTTTTGATAGTTTGTGGCTTTTTAGGAGTGTGTCCATTTCATGAGAGTTGTCTAATATATTGACCTACAATTGCTTATAGTTTTTTTCTTCAAGTAAACCCTTTATTTTATTATTAATATTTTTATAGTGTATTTATTTTGAGGGGGGGGGAGGGGTAGAGCGAGGGAGACTGAGCATCCCAAGCAGGCTCCATGCTGTCAGCTCCTAGCCTGACATGGGGCTCAATCTCGTGAA